AATATTTTACTCAAGAAACACACAGCAAAAATAGACATATCCAAAGGGTGCAGAAGATAAAGACACAAATGAGGATACCTATTGATTTCTAAAGTCTTTTTCAAAACTTCCATTGGGGTTTTAAGTGTTAAGTTCGGATGGACCACCTCAACAAAAATAACTAATTTCTATTTAATTTTGCTAGAACATCTTTCAAAACAATGATTATATTCTTACTGTTATAGCATGTTCTTATTGTTGTAAATGTCTCTGCAATACAGATGTGTTTGTAAAAACTAAAAAGTCAAGTTTTTCCATTCTAAAAACACTCATAAACTTAAATCTCTCACTTTGCCCTCTTCCCCTTTCCTTGGCTTTATAATGCCAACAGGCATTAGATTATGCAAACTTATGCAGCAAGGTAAGGACAGTTAAAATATCAACCCACTAACCCTTGATAACTCGGAAAAAATCTCATACTACATGCGATAATTGAAATGTGCTTGACACAAATAAATATACCTTTGCTTCTATAGCCTTTTTCCCCTGGGTGCTGTTTGTTTCATATGAAAATAATTTTTTAAAGCAACTCAGCACAGGCCTATGTATACATTTATGATCACAAAGGACGAGAGAAGTAAAACAAAACATTTGCTCACCCACATCCCCGATCCAGCAAAGGGTACCTTAGTGTCTACGTTTTTTAAAAATCTGGAAAACTCAGGGTCCGAGTCGAGTAACCTTAAAGGTTATACTTCCTCTGTGTAGCTCTGTATTAGATGGAATCAACCAGTATACTTCTGTTAACCATCTCCAGGTTGCATTCCAGGAGCCTGGAGGCAGAACATTCTCCACAGAGAAAATTCATTTCCCCTCTCAGCTCAAAAAAAACTCAAACAGACTAGTTTTTAGAGCGCTATGCAAAACTGATCTGTTTAGCCTGATGATGTGGGAGAATCGGCACATGAAAGACCACAATTCCAGTTCCAGTTAATAAATACCAAAATGATGCACTATTATCATGTCATACCTGAAGATCCAGTCGTGCGTATATTTCAAAAATAAAATTATCACCATACCAGTCAAGAATCAGCAGGTTAACAGTAAAATCAAACACTCAGTGGCCACTTCCTCCTCTCAGAAACAAAAAGCAAGCAATGATACTATCCATGTTAAATCTCACATAAGCATGGCAGTTCTACCAGAATGCTCATTTAAAATTCCCATCACAGGAGTGGAATGCTAGCCAGGAATCAAACTGTGACCCCTGAGCCAAAGACAACTTACCACTCGGCTGGTAAGTGGGCAACTCAATTTACAAACTTGAATTCCTACATTTTAATCCTTTGCAGAAATATATGAGCAATATTAAACGAACCGGATTCAGCTCATTAGAGGTTCACAAACCAAACACAGAAAGCTCTGGAGGCTATCCAAAGCGAAGTCATGCCCAGGTGGTGATGTCCACTCAATAAAAACTCAATGTCATCATTATCTTTAAAGTTTTTCCCTGAGAAGCATTAGCAGCCATGATTACAGATATGCTCAGCCTATTACATTAATACTTGGAGAAAACACATAGGACCAGTAGCCAATCACCGTGCCAGGACCCTTTGTGTGGATAAATGCATAATTACCCCAAATTTACAAACAAAGCAACTCACTGAGAATTCCTCACCAAAAAAGCACAGGCTAAACCTAATGAAGTAAATGTGCCCTAATCACCTTTACCCAAAACCTTCTTAACTATTTTCTGTTTCAATTTCAAGGCTATTGATTAGCCTTCACCTAACTAATCACATGAACTTCGTATTATAAAGTATAATCTGGGTCCCCTTTAAATTGTTACATTCAAAAATGTATTCGCAGCTACTTTCAGCCTTTTAGGTATCAAAGCAAGATACTATATTTTAAGACTATATTATAACTAAATGAATGGGTGAAAAGGCAATACAGATTCCTTAGAACCCTCGATTATGATGAACTCAATATGAAAGGTTGACATTTTATTGCCATAGCATTCGGTTTCTTGCCAGATACACTATTTTCCTTTCATTATCAGAAAGATCTGTCCTTAATTAGAATTAGACATTTCTTCTGGTTAGCAGTAAAATACCTAATCTAAAATCTTAATTAAAAATTTGCTGAAATACTTGGGTGAGTTATCTTCATCATTTTGTCCCTTCAAATAAATCCAAGAGTTACTGGATTTCAAAACTATGAAAGAGCCACAAGAACCAAAGAAAATTAAGGCTACCGTATGCATTTGTTTATGTCCTCTACTTTTACCCTCATACATGTGGGGAAGAAAATAATGAAAAAAATATTCCTAAGTAATCATTCCTTTTCTTAAAAAAAAATAATAATAAGTTTTATTTTCGGGCACGTGGGTGGCTCAGTCGGTAAGCATGTGCCTTTGACTCAGGTCATAATCCCAGGGTCCTGGGATCAAGCCCTGTGGCGGGCTCCCTGCTCTGTGAGAAGCCTGCTTCTCCCTTTCCCTCTTCCACTGCTTGCGGTTCCCTCTTCCACTGCTTGCGGTTCCCTCTCTAGCTATCTCTCTGTCAAACAGATAAATTTAAAACATCTTCAAAGAAAAAAACATCTTTTAACTAAAGACTTTATTTATTTGAGAGAGAGAGAGCATGCATGTGCACAAGCAGGGAGAGGGCCAGAGGAAGATGGAGAGAGAGAATCCTCAAGCAGATTCTGTATGGAGCACGGAACTTGACCTGGGGCTTGATCCCAGAACCCTGAGATCATAACTACCATAACCCAAGCCAAAGTCAGATGCTTAACTGACTGGACCATCCAGTAAATCATTCTCTACACACACTTTCCATTTGTTGGATTTCTACTTTGGGATTGCAAACTATGCCAATGTGGAAACCTTATAATAAGATTTGAACTCATCACAGAAAAAGATAAAGGAGCATCTGGTAGCTTGCCATGAACACCACCGTTTGAAATGACTTTCAAATCTAAAATCAGGAAAACAGGAAAAAAAGAAGATGCAGAAAAACAAGGCGTGGTTAGCATCTGCTTCTTTCCACTAGTCCTGCTACTTCTTCTCTGCGGCCTCTCTCTCTTCCTGTGGCCAGGCTATCATACAGAACCATCAGCTCCCAAAGGAAATCAGCTACAGAGGAGAATTCGGATTTTGGCAGCCAGCTGCCTGGGCCTTCTTCCCCTCAACTAAGTGCAAATTAGATTAAGACTAGAAGAAGGAAGAGAGAATCACATCTTACTTTTCAATCATCTACAAATTATTCCCCCCTTACAATTGGTAACCTCAGCTAAAGATGTTTTACTCTAGGCAGCAAAATATTGCTGTAAAAAAGGAATCATGTTGAAAAAAATTAAGAGAGCAATTAAGTGTGCAAGTGACTGAGAGAATTCTGGACAGCCAATTTAATAAAGGAGAGTAAGAACTATTGACAGTAACAAGAGCTGTTTAAGGAACCAACAGCTAGGATGCAAAGGCTGAGCTACTTCTAGCTTTCCCTACAACTACCTTAAAATAAAACTATCACCCAAGGAGGGACAAAAGATAAAGAGGAAAAACAACATTCAGTCTTAAAGGAAAAGGCTCAGATGCGACTTCATGAACACAGCTCTGGAGCGTGTAAGAATGAATCATTCTCCACATCCACTTGAGAGAGAACAAAAGTCGGATTCAGTGGTTTCCCCCCACAGATGATTTTTGGTCAAACACAAGGAAGATTTCCCAGTGAGGAAGTATATGAGACCCTGGAACAGGTTCCTGGCAACGTTATGGAAAAACCTATCTAGAGGGAGTAACACGCACCCAGCACCAGCCCAATGCCCCCCCAGGGGCAGTCATGGTGTGGGGATTTACAAGTAAGGCTTTCTGGTGTTTCTAGTGACTCAACACCCTAACGAGTCTCAATCTAATTTAGTCTTTTCCTAATTTCATGCTTCCTCAGGCCAACATAACAAGGATCTACTCTCCAGTATCCAAGAGACCAGGTTTACTATAGGTAGAAGGTAGACGGTCATTTAAGGTGACTCCAACTATTCGATTCTAGAGAAAAAGGAGAAAAATACTGGGTCTTTAAAAGGAAGAAAACTCTTTTTTAAGTAAAAACACAAAACCCATCCAAATCTAAGAAAATAGATATACACCAAATGCTCTCCATGAAATTAATATGTTAAGAAATAAATGCAAAATAACTTTTTGGGAGAATAAAAAACTTCTCTCAAAGTCGATGCCATTTTCATGATTATTTATTCTTTAAATAATTAAAACTTCACCGGACGAAGTCTATTCACAGTTCAAAATCTGCCAGTCTGGCATCAGAAATGTTAGCAAGCCTAGTTCACTTCGGAGGTTTAGATCTATATAACTCGGCGCAAAATGTTGACACTGCCTATCCTTTAATAGCCAGTAACACAGTAGCAGCCCTCTACCAAACAGGAATTTTCGTCCACTTTTTTCTAAGAAGCTCACTTTTCCTTTTTTTTTCTTTTCTTTTCTTTTTTCTTTTTTAAAGAGAAAGCACGTGCACACGTACATGCAAGGGTGGGCAGGGGACGACAGAGGGACAGGGAGAGAGAATCCTAAGTAGGCTCCCCACTGGGACCCCAGGCAGAGTAGGGCTCCATCTCATGACCCTGAGATCATGACCCGAGCAGAAATCCAGAGCCCAATGTTTAATGGACTGAGCCACCCAGGTACACCACCCTCCCCAGTCCCCACCCCACTCCTTTTTAAGCAGACTCCCTGCCCAGCATGGAGCCCAACTCTGGTAGCAGTCACAGTCCTGAGATCAAGACCTGAGCGGAGCTTAACCAACTGAGCCACCCAGGGGCCCCATCACTTTTCCTTCTTTGAAAGAAAAGGAAACTGGATGTGTAGTTACTTGAAGAAACTACGAAAAGAGAAAAGAAAATCAGTGAAATGCCCCAAATTCTCTCAGTACCAATCTTAGGCAGACTGTAAGCAATAAAGACAAAACGTCACCAAATTGAAGGGGGGTGGGGTTCTAACCAGCACAAACCTGCTGCTGTGGGTACTGCATTCCTCCCATGGCCCCGGGGGTCCGACCCTGGATGCTGATTGGATACCGCTGTGGGCCTGGGGGACCGTAGGAGCCTCCTGGGTAAGGGCTGCTCTGCTGAGGCTGAGAATGAGGGTTACTGCCCATCCCGTACAACTGAGGTCTCTTCATCACCATGGGATCCATTGGGCTGCCCTGGGAAGAAATAAAGACACAGATTAAGTTATTTTTTATTACAAAGGCAGAAATTTTATTATACTATCATATACATTAAAAAAAAACTATCCTTACTTTTGACAATACTAAAAATACATAATACATACAAATATCAAATCATTATGTTGTAACACCTGAAATTAGTATGCTATCAGTCAATTATTTAATTAAAAAAAAATAATAATAAGCTGGCAAAAGAAGAACGGTTAGGAACAAAGCCTAGATAGATACAGGACATTTACTGTTTACTTTTAGGAAGGTTTTAACAATTATGAGGGATCCTATGTAAACAAGAGTAGGAAAGAGTTTGCAGAGAGAAAACATCTAAAATTCTAATACATATATAAGAAATGAGCATGATAGTTAATCTCACCCAGCTACTTTCAGCTAACTAGTAATCAAGACAAAGTGTACTGAGTGGTTAGCAACGCTTTTTGACTTCAAAGTATTCTTAGAACAACTACTTTAATGTGGACCTGAGTCTGCAACTCCTGATCAAACATTAATGTATCTGAGTGCACATTAGAAAGTGAAAGGGAGGATTTCTGATAATATAGAATGTCTAGGGTAAAAATTTTCAAAGCTCACTACTGCGTATGAATAGGCACCCAGACTCTGAGTCACAATCCACCTTCCCCATGTCAGTATCTTACCAAACATAACCAGTTCCAAACTAGACTCTGAGTTTTATTTTGGGTTTGGTGAGTCAGCCCATGGGCCCCAGGGCCAAGGCCATTCAGGAGAGCCAGAACTAGAGCCTCCGCTGGGACTTTCTTGCCCTGGGTGTTTCAAAGGAGCAAAGCGGAGGTGGGGGAAGTCCCTCCCCGCGGTGCTACAAAAGCCTGCAGCATTCATCCAACAGATCCCTCCTTCCTTCCTTCCAAAACCATATATTGATCCCTACTGTATGCCAGATTCTATGTAATATATTAGAAGGCTTAAAAATTAGCAGAACGAGTGAGGAAGCGCCAGGCTCAAGGTGGGCATAGAGTGGCACAGAGCAGCAGCGTAAAGCAGAGAGGCTCAAGGGAGGTGAGCTGTGTAGGAGGGTATGAGGGGACATAGATAGTTCAGATCCATAGGACGGAGGAATCTGCAGAGAAGGAGCTGAAGCAGGCAGAACCAGCACGCGGGTGAGCCCTGCACCCCATCTTAAAGGCTTCAGATTGCATCTCGGGGTGAACCACTGGGTGCTTTTAACAGAGAGCTACAGTGGGATCCAGCTTTCGGAAAGCCTGTTCTCCAGCAGTGGCCTGGAGGCAGGGCGGGCTGCTGCAGGAAGGGGAGCTGAGGTTCTGAACAGGCGGCAGGGGTGGGAGAAAGCCAGCCCAGATGCAAGTAATGGTGGAAATGCAACACGACTTAGAGACTGAGCAAGTGACAGAAGAAGACAGTCAATGGTGGCTCAACGGATGGTAAGACACCAACTGAGTCAGATATGCTGAGAAAGCAGCAGCTCTACCCTCTCCCCCACATGCCAGAGAGACTTCAGAGTTCTACATAGGAAATCTGAGGTTCCTATAGGAAATCCAGCCAAAAACATCTAGAAGGAAGGGACCCAATGTGTTTATAGTTTGGGGAATAAGGGTTGACCTAGAATGATAAATAGGGAAAAGTCAGCAAACAGAGGATACATGCTCCTGGAAAGGCAGTGATTCTTCTGTTTTACTCACTCCTGTATCTCCAGGACATAAGTCAAATAGTACACCTGGCACAAAATAAAATGTTCACCAAATACTGGATAATTAATCACTCACTCATGTATCTCCAGGACATTAAGTCAAATAGTACACCTGGCACAAAATAAAATGTTCACCAAATACTGGATAATATAAAAACTAAAGAACTTCATCTAGGAAGAATATATGAAACAAGAGCAATGGGTAGAGGACAAAATTGTAAAGAATATCACCATTTTAGGGAGAAGGGAAAGGAGAAGCCCACAAGGAAGCCAAAAGAACAGTCAGAAAACAGAGATTCTAGAGGGTATAGAATCATGGAAAAGAAGGGAGTCGTGCGTGGCAACAAATTAGGTGTGCCAAATGCCAGCCAGGTAGGTGTCCAAGAGGTGAGGGTGAAAGCTTTTCTCGATGACTAGAAGGGAATTACTGGGTTTGGCAAGGAAGGCCTCATCAGAGGTGAGAGCAGTAGTCAAAAGGTAAGGAACGTTAAGACATGAATGGGAGGGGAGACGTGAGCCAGGAGCACAGACCGAAAACCCAAGCTGGGGAAGCTACAAGAACTGGTGGTCTTTCCTCCCACTGATACCCAGCCCAAGGCTGGTATGTGCAGTGTGCCAGTGTGCCAGGCACTGAAGAAAAATGAACAGCCAGTACTGGAGAAATGACCAATTCGCTGAAGGAGACAGACTGAAAAAAGATTAGAAGGCACACAGCAGGGGCACCTGGGTGGCTCAGTGGGTTAAAGGCTCTGCCATGATCTCAGGGTCCTGGGATCAAGCCCCGCATTGGGCTCTCTGCTTGGCGGGGAGCCTGCTTCCTCCTCTCTCTCTACCTGCCTCTCTGTCTACTTGTGATCTTTGTCTGCCAAATAAATAAATAAAATCTTAAAAAAAAAAAAAAAAAGGCACACAGCAGACATCCTAACAGGACACACAAGGTACTGTGAGGAGGGAGCATCTTCATGGGTCTGCAATGGGCTTTACCAAAGCCTTCCAAAAGATAAACTCAGCTCTGAGGGATTCTGAGGAATTTGCCAGGAACTCCATCTCACCTGAATGAAAGTATGTGTAGGCCCAACAGTTCTGCTCAAAATTCACTATTTCATGGAATTTCAGATGTGTTACTTTCACCAGTCAGGGAAATCTTGTACTCACAATGATGATACTGATGTTATACAACCTGGGCTAACCTCACAATTCAACACACAAACATGTATGTTGATAGAGTGTCATAAAACGAAAATCAAGTATTAAGAATTAAGGTTTTGCCAGAGTGATTTAAATTAGAACATATGCCTTACAAAAGCAAAATGTAATTATTTTCCCCACTTTCTTTCAAAAGATAAAATAAAACTTGCTACAGAAGTATGAAAATCAAGGCTTAACTGGTGATCTCAGAATCCGCCGAATGAATGAATGGTCAACAGAGAGGCTGAGTAAATCAGATCTCAAGCTACATTCTGAATATGGAGTTCTGAGGTAGCCCTATCTTCACATTCAATCTGGATTAGCCAGGACATAGGAAAGGTCTACTGATTTACTTCAAATAGTGTACCACCAAAACTGGCTTAATTGAAGCAGAAATTTAAAATGGAAAAAATGATTGGAATGTCTGTATTTTAATGCCATAGATAACGGTGCAGCAAATTCATCTTACCGGTGACTAAAATTGTTTCCTATCTGTCTCATCATTGCCATAACCTCTCACAGTCATACTTAAAATTCAGTTAATTTGCACCCATGTCAAAAATGTTAGCCTAACCCTGAGAGTTCTGAAAATCAAAACCATGAAATATGCAAATCATCTGTACCTCTCAAAATGCATCTAATCCCTTTCAGTGAGACTTCAGATATGAAAACAGATACTTATACAGTACAAATTATTTAATTTTAACCTCTCTTTATGGCCTTGTGTTAAATACTCATCCTCACCCCAAATTCATCCTGTGTGCTCTTGCTATTTTTAACATTAAATATGTACAAGGGCAGGATCTCAACCCCAGCTTCTCGCTATTACCTCTTTAGAGAAACCAAAGGCCAAAGCAAATCTAAGTCTAACCCAAAAAACCTAAAAGCCAAGTCTCTTCTCACATTCACTTCTAACCCAAAACGATTTTGTGTGTTTCTCAGCTATCCCTCGGTTGATCTATTCGAAAGTCCCATCATCTTCACTCTTACATAAAATTTACACTGTCTCAGAGACACTGTCCCCATGAAAACAGTCCTCAAGTACTCTAAACAGACATGCTTGTCCTCCCTGGGGGCCACTGCATAAGCGCTGTCATCTGCACGTCAATTCTATAGAACAAGCTGGGTGCTAGGAAGGCTGCAGTACGGAGCACCCATTTTTAAAGCGCTCAGCACAGTTGTGTACGTTTAGTTACTCAGTGTCTCGTGCAATTTTATTTCTTGGTAAGACTCTCTTGCAACTCCTCCCTTGTTCAAAGAAACTTTTGTGTGTACATGTATATGTGAGTCGGGACACCACACACGCACATGTACGCACACATGCTTTCCTAGATTTCCTTTTGGGAAGCTGCCACGGCTACCTACCTCCTCCCAAATCCTCAGAAGGTTTTCCATTCCCAGGAAGATGAAATAAGGAGAACAATGTGTATTTTTTAAATGTATACTTGAATATAAATTCCAGACAACTGAGGCGGCACAGTTAAGCTGTATTTTAGGTAAAAGAGGTTTATCAAAGGCTGGCCTCAGAACGCAACAACACTTTTTTTTTTTTTTTAAAAGAAATCTATTTATATGAGAGAGAGAGAGAGAGCGAGAACATGAGCAGAGGGAGGGGTAGCAGGCAGAGGGAGGAGCAGACCCCCAGGTGAGCTGGGAGCTGGACAAAGGGCTGGACCCCAGGACTGGGACTACGACCTGAGCCAAAGGCAGACACCCCTCCAACAACCCTTTTAAAAGATGATCCAAATTAAACAACAGCTTATATACTTTCAGTATACTTTGGATAGACTTTTTTTTTTTAAAGTAGGCTCCACTCTGGGTGTGGAGCCAGGAATGTAGGGCTCAAACTCATGACCCTGAGATCAAGACCAGAGCTGAGATCAAGACCAGAGCCAAGATCAAGACTCGGATGCTTTAGCACCTGAGCCACCAAGGCAACCAACCTTAGACAGACTTGATGCTTCTTATGCTTATTCCTTCATTACCACTCTTCCAGAGTACGCCTACATATGCATTTATAATAAAGATATCGATGTAACTGTATTTACTACTAAATATCAAGGTAAGGATATAGTTTATTAGTAGTTTATTTCTGAATACAGTATTTCAC